CCCTTGGTTACCCGGGCGACGACCGAGCCGGTATAATTTTCGATGGCGTCAATACCATGAATGGCAGGTGGCTGAATTTGACGGAGACTTGCCACGGTCTCCAGATTATCGTTCTTTCTTGCTAAAATGGGTTCGAACTAGACCCCTTTGTTACGCAGGCGGTATTGAAATCCTGACACGCCAAACCTGAGAATTTTATCCACTTGTTTATTCAGATTCTAAGTGAGACTTCCAACGATTGGAACGATCAGCCTAAGAAGCTCACCGGGCTTATGGAGTTTTACCAGGTCATATTGTTTCAGCACGGTGCAGGTGTCAACCGTCGGGTTAAACTATTTACGCTGTCAAACTGTTTAAGACATATAGATGACGTTTTAAATCCACCGTTGCTGGTCCCAAGTGAGGCTGAGAAAGGAGGAGGGTTTGAGACCGTGGCGAAGTTTCCGTAAAATTTCGCCACTTCATGGTATTAACGCCATCTAAAATTATTCCCGGTTCGGTCGTCGCTCTGGTTACCAAGGGTTGCGTAGGCTGTTGGGCGACTGAGGCAGACTGCGAAAAGTCGGTGATCACAACCTGCTCATCGCCCTTTGCCGCCCAGGGGCGTAGCACAGCAACGGCTGACAAAGACCCTACGGAACGAAGACGATGTCAGTCAGCAACGGAGTTGCTACCCGTACTGAACGGAAGAGGCAGACAGCGCGTCAGGAAAGGGTACATAAGAACGACACCGCCAGTAGGAGCTTACAGTCGGAAATTGGAACATCCCCAATGAGAGGGAAAGAACTAGGGCTAGTTGATGACGCCATAAGGCACCAATTCGACATTGTTGGACTCTCGTCAACGAAACGCCAAGGCTCTGGACTCCTGAACCTCTGCAGGTGGAAGTTATTGTACTCATGTCGATGTCATGACGCGCGCTCAGGCCGGTGTTGTTATTCTGGTAGAACCAATCCTCGTAGATAGAATCATTCATTGGAAGCCTGTCAACGGTTGGATGGCAATCGTCCGACTGAAGCTACAGCAGGTTAAAGCGTTGACCTTGGTGCAGGTATATGCGCTCAATTTGGAGAGAGATTATCATGCCGTCCTGGACGAAGTGCAGTGTGCTCTGTTCGATGTTCCGAATACAGAGTCCCTGATACTAATGGACGATTTTAATGCGCATGTCTCAGTTAGACGCTGAAAAGCGGAACGGCGTGATTGAAAAAAACGGCCCCAGCGACCTCAGCAATTGCGACATGAACTTGCTGCGGTTTTGTGCAAACAACGGACTATCCATTATGAACACCTTAGAGAATCGAGGATTGCATCAATATTCCTGGTGCAGAAAAGGTTGTGCACTGAAGTCGATGGTCCATTTGATAATCGTCTTTACGACCCTCGGCTACGGATGGTCACGTTACAAGAGGCTCAGAGCTGTCAACGGATCGCCACCTTGCTGTTGGCACGCAATGCTGTAAGAAATTGAGTACCATAAGAAACATAAATAGAATCGAATGGGAATGATTTTCTTTGGTGGACACGATAGAGATAGTTGCAGACAACATCGCACAACGATTTGAACAGATCCTGGTAATGACTACTGATGTGGGAACCGAGTGGCAGCTCTTTAAATGTGAAGTACTCGATGCGGATATTAACGGGTCGGCTGCCTCTTGAAGGTCCGAAAAGAGCGTCCTGGTGGACACGAGACGAACAGCTGGCAGTTAAGGACAATGAGACTGCATTCAAGAAATGGCTTGGAAACAAGCAACCTTCTACTCGCGTGCGATATGTTGAGGCACGCCAGGCGGCAGCGAAAGCAGTGGCGATAGCCAAAGCTGCTTCCTGGGAGAAGCTTAGTGATGCATTGGAATCGAATTTCCACACGGGTAACAAAGTTTTCTGGCAGACCATCCGCCTGCTCCGAGGTGAAGTTAAGAGTAGTCTCAGAGTCTTTAAGGACATGTCTGGACACCCTCTAACCAAGGATGATGACATTCTTCAGCAATGGAGGGAGTACTTTGAGGAACTCCTTAACCCAGCGCAACTGCAGAAAGACTTGCTTGTAGAGCAGCAGGGAACGGATATTATTATCTCTGTAGATGAAAATACACAAGGTGTTAAAAGCTTGAAAAATGGAAAGACCGCTGGAATTGATGAAATGCGCCCTGAAATTCTCTAGGCATTAGGCGAAGAAGACATGTGTTGGTTTACACGTGTGTGTGAAACTGCGATGACTACAGGCAAAACACCGACGGACTGGGGAGTCGGAATTGTTGCTACCACTATTCAAGGAGGGAGACCACAAAGAGTGCTCCATTTATAAGGGTATTCCGTTATTGACCCTCCAAGTAAAGTCTACGCAAAGGTGCTGCAAAGGAGGGCCTGCAGAATAACTGACTTCAAAATTAGAGAGGAGCAGTGTGACTTCCCGCCCGGTCGACGCACTTATGACCATATATTTTCTCTCTGCCAGATTGCTGAGTAATCGTGGGAGTACGCCCATTCGGTGTACATGTGCTTTCTTGACCTAGAAAAAGCCTATCACCGGATCCCCGCAATAGTTTATTGGCATGACTGTGACCTGATAACAGGTGCTGCTCGGAGTTAATGGCGTTGAGTCGAAAGCTTTCACTTGTCTCCGCCAAGGCTCCGCCATGTTCCCTCTCCTGTTTGTGTTGTACATGGATAGAATAGTCAGGGACAGCCAAGATGTGAAGACGAGAAGGTTACTGTTTACACACTACCATGTTTTATTGGCATCTTCTGAAACTGATCTACAGTGCTTCCTGGAACGGTTCGCATCCAAGTGCAAAGTGACCGTCATGCGTGTGAATACATGTAAAACGTAAAGCCTAGTGCTTTCTCGTTCTCCTGCCCGTTGCTCTCTTCAGATTAACGGAGAGGCAGTG